AAAAAATTGCTAACACGAAAAAAATCGGAAAAGCTGAAGTGTTGGAATTTTGAGGAGGTGTCTGCTGTCCGAGTACAGTTTAAATATTTCAAGACCAGCGCTCAGTTTTGCATGGCTCTCATATGAGGGCACGTGGAAGTTGCTTAGTGAGCAGCTAGGTCATGCTCAGTGAATGACCGCTCAATGGAAATTATTCATTTTCCTCTGTGCAAAATTTACTATGATTTACGGCAGTAAGTGCACAGGATAAACGTAAAGCAACCATCATTCGTACAGTTAACAACCTGATTGCTTTGAATTAAACGCGTAATTGCGCCGGCAAGCTTTGTGCAATGCAGCCTGGGTTTGTGAAGATGAAGATCGGAGGTGGAGCGACATCCTCAGATCCTCACAGTCGTCGGATGATCCGTCGAATTGTAGTGCGATGACTGATTGCACTGCCTGTTCTTTGAATTCGCATACAGCAGCAGTTTGGGCATTTGACTCTGTCTGCGTGCCGTCCACCTTCATTGTGTGACTGCTCCGACGACAAGCAATGTGCACTTTGATTTTTGCTGGCTCCATCACCATCTGCGGCATCTCTTTGGCGGGGGTGAGGTGGGAGGGGGAACGGGATGGAGGCGAGTTGACTGCGACGTTTAGCCTAGACTGGTTTTTCAGGCCAAATATCAAGCAAAGGGGACGGAATTGGCCAGCGAGCAGCTGAATCAGTTTTCGCAGGAGCTGGCAGTGTTTCAGACGAAACTGGAAGAATTTGCACACAAACATCGCGATGAGATTCGACGAAATTCGCAATTCCGTCGGCATTTCCAGGACATGTGCGCATCGGTTGGCGTCGATCCACTGGCTTGTAAGTATAGGCATTCAATTGATGCTTAGAATTGCTTTCATTGGGGTTCGAATTGCGTAGAGCGCGCGGTGGCGGGGAAGTGGGAGAAAAGGGAGGTGAGTGTTGAAATAAGGTTAGATTTCGGCTTCCGGTCTTTTTTAACTTAAGCAAACGTTTCATTCGACAGGTCGTTTCTCTTAACGAGGGAAGGTATGGAAGGTCGAGTTTGAAGCTTTTTAAATTTTTTTCAATGCTTTAAACTTTTTGCAAATTTAGAACTTGATTGGAAAGAATAGGACTGGGACGGCAACTCTACAGTGGTTGCTATAGCCGAAGCTTTATCGTTTTCTTTTCTTCCCAGTTTTATTTCTTTAATTTTACTCAATGAATCCTAGATGCATCATACTGAAAACCAATTCAATATTATCTTGCATGTCCTTGCATCGTTGATGAAATGCAAAAACGCATACTGTCTATGTATTTTATACATTTGTGTGTGTGTGTATGTTGGATTTTGTCACGTACTTTCAACTCAGCAGTCAGGCGCGCAAAAATCCGGACTGCACCTGATTGCTGAATTGAAAGTAAGTGACAAAAGTTGAAAGTACGTACGGATGTTTCCGGTCCTCTTGCAACATCATAAACGTGAAATTAACTCTGATCTACGCCTACATCGCACATATGGATTCCTGAAGTAAAAATCGGAAAAAATTCAGCGGGAGAAGATAGGAGGTTGAAGTGTTTCCTCAGTCTGTGCCCGGCCGGAAGATTTCAAATTTAGGTCTCTCGCTCATGCATGTGAATGTTCAGTTTGAGACAAAGTTAGCAACGTTTCATTTGGTAACTGGACGGAGCGGGAATCTGTAGTTTCATGTGAATGTTTGCTGCGGGTTCGTAAACGCGATCTTTTGCTTATGCTTCTGCCTCGGTTCCGGGCAGTCAGACAAGCACAGTGTCGGCATCCTCTTCTCGCGATAACCATACACGCTGGAAAGTTGCGATACACAGTTTTAGTGCTTCACGAAATAGCGCAAGAACGCATGATCGGGTCGGTCGTTGCAGCTAATTATTCGGGGAATTTCTTAAAAGAGTTTTGTTAGTTTCTTTTTCATGGGTTTTTTTCTCAGTCCTGTCCTGATGTCTCCTGGCTCCAGGGTCTGATTTGGTCACCAATTTTTGATTTCGGCTTAATTCACAAATTGGAATTTTTTCAGCCAGTAAGGGTTTCTGGGCCGAGAAACTTGGAGTAGGCGATTTTTACTATGAATTAGCCGTACAGATTGTTGAAGTTTGCTTGTCCACCAATCATATTAACGGTGGTGTAATGACGGTGGAAGAACTCAGAAATCGGCTGATGCGATCTCGAGCACGGACGCGACGCGACGCTATCACCACGTATGATTATTATTTTTATTGTGTTCGCTGTCGAATTTATCGAACCAAAGTATCATGCGCTTTTCATTTTGAGCTAGAACTCTGAACTGCATTATTTTTTCTTCTACAAAACCGACTCGAGTGCCAGCAGACTGCCGACTGTTCTGCGACTCAAGGTGATTTCAATCCCTGGCGTGTTACAAGCGTCGGCGCCAATTTGTCATCGGAACGGAAGAACGAAGTGTGGAGGAATTGGCTTCCCGGTCAAACTAAATCCTTTTGCCAGAATTGAGCAATGCTCATTTTCGGTTCCTGCTTCAGTTTGTTGAGTATTACTCCCGAACAGTACGAGCTGTAGAGCTCGAAATACTGCTCATCTCATCCGGCTTCTCGATCCCAGTAATTATAGTTGCTGAAAACCGCAACAGTTATCAGTCTAATCACTATTGTGAGAACTAGTCTGCACTGGATTACAAACGCTGATTTTGTAATTTTTATGCGTTTTTGCAGCAATGCAATGCGAAAAACGCATATTGACGAGAGGTTGTCTGTGTGT